CGCAGGACCAGTCGTGTCCGACGTACCGAGGCGCCCTGCGCAGGCTGGCCGCCCTGGGCCTCTTCCTGGGTGTACTGGTGATCTTGCTGGAGTCCGCCGACCTCGCGATGGCCGAGCTGGCGCAGGAGATGTGCACCGACGGCGACGACCACTCCGCGGGGCGGGTGCGCTACGCGGCCTGGCTGGTGACTGTCCCGTCGGCGGGCAGAGGGGGTGCTCCGCTGCCCCGTGCGCCGCGGGCCCTCCTGGCCTGGTCGGGCCTGGAGGCGGCGCTCGCTTTGTCACTGGTGTCCTGGCTGGGCGCGGTCGCGGTGGCGCAGGTGATGCTGGACTGGGGCGACGCGCTGGCGGCCTCGCTGGTGGCGCTGCTCCTCACGTGCTACCGGAGGCCCTCGGAGGAGCTGCCTCCTGAGGCGGCGTACGCGATGACGCCGCTGTTCCCGATCTCGTTCTGCATCGCTTGACCCATACACCGTGGGGGATGTGGCCGCGCGGGCGTCGATGCTATGCTTAGACAGAGGAGGATGCGGATTCGCTGTTGGCGCTGGCGACCAGCCAAGAGGATCCCTTTTTTTTTTTCTTTTTTTAATTTTTTATTTGTTTTTTTTTTTTTTTTTTGTTTTTTTTTTTTTTTTTTTTTTTTTTTTTTTGTTTTTTTTTTTTTATTTTTTTTTTTTTTTTTTTTTTTTTTTTAATTTTTATTTTTTTTGTTCCCGCTGGTCCCGTTCGCAGCGCTGTTCAGGCCCGCCCAGCTGCACCTCGGGATGACGACGCAGCGCATCTTGCACAGGAGGAGGCGCGGCTGGCCGTCGGTCGACCAGAAGGAGAAGTTGAAGACGCCGCGGGAGGTGAAGCGGCGCGGCCGCTGGTGTGCCGACGCCGCGAGGAGACGTTGGAAGGCAGCGGCCCGGCTGCCTCGAGAAGATGCCTTGCTGCCGCGGGCCGTGATGACGGTGGCTCGAGGTGCCCTGCAGCCGCTGCCGGGCGCCCTTGCGGCGTCGTTGAGCCGCCTCCTGAGATCCGCAGGAGGCGCGGCTATTGCATCGAGGTCTTTGCGGGCTGCCGTCGCCACTCGCTCGAACTGGCCCACAAAGGCTATCGCGTATATACCTTCGACATTGCGCATTCGGCCAATCAGGACATCCTCAGACCTGAGGCCTGGGCGGCCCTCCTTGAGCTCGCGGTCTCACCTGCCTGCCGTCTCGTCTGGCTAGGGCCCCCCTGCACCTCCTGGCCCAGAGCTCGGAGAGGGGGGGCGGGCCCCGCCCCCCTCCGAAATTCGGGGCCAGGGCTGCTTGGTATCCCTGGCCTCTGTGACAAGCATTTGGCTAAAGTCCGCCCAGGCAACGCGTTGATGCGCGCCTCGGCCGCCCTGGCTCGTGCCTGCATCCTGGCGAAGGTGCGCGTCGTCATTGAGAATCCCTTCACCTCTAGAATTTGGCTGGCCCGTCCTCTCATCGCACTCAAGCGTCTCGGGGCCGAAATGTATACATCTAGCTTTTGCCAGTGCGGGGCGCCGTGGCAGAAAAAAACGTCCCTGCTGGCTTTTGGTTGTCCTGAGCTCTCAGCCCTCAAGAGATGTGTCGTGAGTAGGGGGCGTTGCTCGGCCACTAATAAGGAACATAAGCAACTTGTAGGTAAGAATGCAGCGGGGAAATTTTAGGTTCTAGTTGCCCGGCCATATCCGCAGTTGTTTGTCGAACATATCTGCGAGCTGTTATTTAAACGCTTCGCGTAGGCCGTTGGCCAGTTCCAAGAATTTGGGATTGGGGATCCTGATAAATGTCTTCGGAGGCCTCCGATCTGCGTGGTGCCCCTGGTCAGCTCGCAGGCCCTTCAGTGCTATCGGATATGTGTTTCATCTCTGGCGGCGATAAATGAGCAGAGCCACATGTATGTGCTTGCTCGGGAATGTTGTCAGCGGTGTTGGAGCACCGCCGTCCGTGCAGCATCGGTCCATTGACACGGTGGCTCAAGTTTTTTCCGGCTATCCCCCAGCCTACCCTTTTCACCCTCCTGCTCAGCAAAGCTGGGGGGATCCTGATAAATGTCTTCGGAGGCCTCCGATCTGCGTGGTGCCCCTGGTCAGCTCGCAGGCCCTTCAGTGCTATCGGATCTGTGTTTCATCTCTGGCGGCGATAAATGAGCAGAGCCCCATTTGTATGTTAGGGTGCTGTGTTATGCGATGTTATGTATGTTCCGTTATGTCAGTGCATGCGTTGCTGTGTTGTGTCTTGTCATGTTCTGTCTTGGCATGCTACGTTGGGGTATGCTTTGCTATGTTATGGTGGTATGCTATGTTGTGATGTGCAATAGTGTGTTAAGCCGCCATGTGTCATGTAGTGCTTTGTCACGTGTTGTGGTGCTAGGTGCTGCGATGCGGTGCTGTAGTATGTTTTGGTCTGCCATGGTCTATTATGTTATGATAGGTTCTGTCATGGTATTGTCTGTTGTGTGTTTGGTATGGAATGCTATGACGTATGGTACTATGCTATGTTATGCGTGATCAGTTCTGTCATCGCTCATGATGTTATTGCATGCTCTGTTCTCCTATGTCATGATGTGCTGCGCCGCGCTTTGTCATGTTGTGCTTCGCCGTGGTATATGATGCTTGGTGCTGTGATGCTGTGTCATGGTATCCGTTGTCCTGTCATGGTATGTCATACTATGCTCTGTCGTGTCATGCTATGTCCTTTTCGGCACCCCCATGCGATATTATGAAACAAATGCTCTCATGCTCTGTTATGTATGTTCCGCTTTGTCATAGCGTGCGCTGTCATGCAATGTTAGGCTCTGTTATGCTATGCCAAGTTATGTTATGCGGTAAAATGTTCGGGTTTAGTATGGTCAATTATGCTATGTTTTGTCATGTCATGCTTGCTTTGTCATGTCATTGATTGCTCTTTGTTGTGATGCAGTGCTCTAGTACGCTCTGATCTGCCATGGTATGGTGTGTTCCGAACTATTATGCCACGCTGCGGTATATTACGATTTGCTATGTTATTTTGTGTTCCGTCATGCTCCGCTCTGTATGGTCCGTTCTGTCATAGCTTAGGGTGCCATCATATGCTGCAACACGTCGTGTCGCGCTCAATCATGCTACGATTTGTCATGCTATGCCATGCTCTCCTCTGTGATGCTGTGTTATGTTCTGCTTGTTTCGAGTTCGTCGAAGGCGCGTGGCGGATAACTCGGCGGATACTCTGTGGGCCTGGGGATTTGGCGGCCGCGGTATGCAGAGTGGGAGGGTTGGCGCGATGCCGGAAATGCGGGGGACACTCGGTGGACCTGGGAATCTGGCGGCCGCGGTGGGCGGATTGGGCGGGTCGGGAGGCCCGTTCTCCAAATCTGGCAACCTCAACCTCAATCTAGAGATTTGGTCGTTGTTGTTGTTCATGGTGGTGGTGATGATAAGGAGGATGGGGAGAAGGAGGAGAGTCGGTTGACCCGGGGGCGAAGGAGGATGGGGAGGAGGCGGAGGATGATGAGGTGGACCAAGGGAAGGTGTGTGTGTGTGTGTGTGTGTGCACGAGGGGGACCAGGAAGAGACGCGGCGGCAGCAGCGGGATAGGCGGGAGGAACAACAGATGGGGACAGGGAGGAGGACTGGAGGGAAAGGGAAAGAGGGAGAGAAGGAGGGATGAGGACGAGAACGAGGACGAGGACGACGACGACGATGATGACGATGATGCTGCGAAGCTGATGCTGATGATGACAGTAACGATGATGCTGAT